CAGGCGTTCCCGAGCGGTTCCAAGCGCTCCCAGGCGGCCCTGCGGGCGCCCGCGCGATCCCACGCGCTCCCCGGCGATCCCGGGCGCTCCCAGGCGCGCCCGTGCACTCCCTGGCGCTCCCAGGCGCCCCCAGACGCTCCCAGGCGCGCCCAAGCGCTTCCAGTGGCTCCCAGGTCCTTCCAGGCGCCCCCTGGCGCTCCGAAGAGTTTCCCGGCGCTCGCAGGCGCTCCGTGGCGTTCCCGGGCGCTCTCAGGCGCTTCCTTGGCGCTCCCAGGCGCCCCCGAGCGCTCCCAGGCGCTCCCGGGCGCTCCCGGGCGCTCCCAGCCATTGCACACTGGCGCCAGATAAGAGCGAACCGCGTGAGCAGTGGAGCCTCAGATTGAGGGCTCGCTGCTTTGGCGGAGCGCAACACTGGCGTCGGCCTAAGAGCGTTCCTCGCAGAGTCCGCCCGCATAGGCGCGCGCGCGCAAAGAGAGCTCGGCGGGCCCGGGTCCCCAGGCCCTCCCAGGCACCCGCAGGCGCACCCGAGCGTTCCCAGGGCGCCCCGGGAGCCATTGGGGCCCCCAGAAGCCTTGGCCCAGGCCTTTAACACAGTCCGCCCGCATAGGCGCTCCCAAGCGCCCCCGAGCGCTCCTAAGCGTTCCAAAGCGTTCCCAAGCGCTCCCAGTCATTCCCGGGCGCCCCCAAAGCGTTCCCAGGAATTCCCTGGCGCCCCCAGGCGCCCCTCAAGCGCTCCGCAGTGTCGGGGGGAGGTTTATATTTTGGCGGCGAACAGCTCGGGGGCCGACGTGGGCAACCAGCGGGGCGCAGCACTGGCGTCGGCCTGAGTTCTTCGCGCCGGCTCGACTAGCGTTCGCTCCTCGCCACCGATGGCGTTCGAGGTCGACGGCGCGAATCAACGGGGTCGCGCGTCAGCAGGGTGTGCTGCGATGCATTGGTTCCGGGTTCAGGCCCCTCGATGAAAAACTGCGTCGAGGACCATTCCGCGTCGAAGATGTGCGTTTCGCGCGTGTCCGCTCGAGGAGAGTGCGCCCCCCATGTCGGATTCTCGTTGCCTGGCGAGGTCCGCGGACCCCCGCTTTCCTTTCTGTAAAAAAGGTGTGGAGCATTGTGCTCAGAATCTCAATTAGATAACGGTGTTCGGCGACCCTCGGAGTTGGGCTACTCGGTGCCCGACATCGACGTTGTGCGCGCCCGCTGGCGCGCGCCGCTCTCTGGCGCACTCCGAGAGCGTTTCCGCGCGCGCCCGCTGGCACGCGGTGCTCGTCGGCGCGCGTTTCCAAGCGCATTCGATAAAATTGCGCAAAAGGTTCGATGCGTTTCGCGCGTGCCCTCTCGAGGATAGTCGCTCCCCCATTTCGGATCCTCGTTGCCTAGCGCGGACCGCGGACCCCCTGAGCTCCTTCGCAGGTAGCCCGATGAGCAGCGCGCGGTTCAGAATTCCAACTAAATAACGTGGTTCGGTAGCCTTGAGATTTGAGCCTCCCGGTGCCCGAAATCGATTTTGCGCGCGCCCGCTCGCGCGCGGCGCCCTCTGGCGCACTCCGAGAGCGCTTCCGCGCGCGCCCGCTCGCGCGCGGCACTCGCCGGCGCGCCCTGAGAGCGCCCCCGCTTTATTCTGCATATAAAACATGCGGGGGCCCTCGCGGCGCGGGAATACATGCTTTTCACGCGTGTCCGCTCGGAGGGGAAGCGCCCCCATCTCGGGCCTTCGCTGCCTGGCGGCGCCCGCAGACGCTTGCTTTCCTTGGCGGGGACCTCGGTGCGCAGCGTATTGCCCAGAATCGCAATGAATCGACTTGGTGCGAACCCGCTCGCGCGCGGCGCTCTCTGGCGCACTCCAGGAGCGCTTCCGCGCGCGCCCGTTCGCGCGCGGCGCTCGTCGGCGCGCCCCGAGAGCGCTGCCGCTCGATGGAGACAATTCAAGGTCCAATTCGATGGAAAATGAGCGTTTCGCATGCCCGCGCGAGGAACATGCGCCCCTCATCGCGACTCCTCGCTGCCTAACGGGGCCCGCAGACTCCCGCTTTCCTATGCGGAAAATTGCGGGCGGGACGTTTTCCTTAGAATTCCGATGAGAGAAAGAGGTTCGACAACCTTTCGGTTTGATTTACTTGGCGCCCGAAATTGTCTTTGCGCGCGCCCGCTCGCGCGCGGCGCACCCTGGCGCACTTCGACGGCTCTTCTGTCATGCCCGCTCGCGCGCGGCGCGCTCTGGCGCGCCCCATAAGCGCCCCCGCGCGTGCCCGCTCGCAATAGCGGCGCGCTCTGACGCGCTTCGAACGCGCGTCCGTGCGCGCCCGCTCGCACGCGGCGCGTTCTGGCGCACCCCGAAAGCGCTCCCGCGCGCGCCAGCTTTCGCCCTAAATGCGCTTCCGCGTTTGCCCGCTCGCACGCGGCGCATTTTGGCGCGCTCTGACGGCGCTCGCGCGCGCGCGCCCGCTCGCGCGCGGCGCGCTCTGGCGCGCGCCAAAGGCGCTTCCGCGCGTGTCCGCCCGCGCGCGGAGCATTCTGACGCACCCCGAAAGCGCTTCCGCGCGTGCCCGCCCGCACGCGGCGCACTCTTGCGCGCCCCAAAAGCGCTTCCGTGCGCGCCGGCTGGCACGCGGAGCGCTCTGTCGCACCCCGTAAGCGCTCCTGTGCGTGCCCGCTTTCACGCGGCGCACTCTGGCGCGCTCCGAAAGCGCTCCCGTGCGTGCCCGCTCACGCGCGGAGCATTCTGGCGCGCCCAGAACACGCTCCCGTGCTCGCCCGTCTGCACGCGGCGCTCTCTGGCGCGCCCCGAAGGCGCTTCCGCGCGTGCCCGCTCGCACGCGGCGAGCCCTTGCGCGCCCCGAGAGCGCTTCCGCGCGTGCCCGCTCGCACTCGGCGCGCTCTGGCGCCCCGGCAGCGCTTCCGCGCCTACTCTCTCGCGCGCGGCGCACTCGCGGCGCGCCCCAAAAGTTCCACCGCGCGCGGCCGATCTCGCGCGGCGCGCTCTGGCGCGGCCCGAAAGAACTTCCGCGCGCTCGCTCGCGCGCGCCGCATTCTGACGCGCTCCGAAGGCGCTCCCGCGCGTGCCCGCTCGCGCGCGGCGCACTCTGCCGCGGTCCGAGGGCGCGTTCGCGCGTCCCCACTCGCGCGCGGCGCTAGTCGGTGCCCCTCGAAAGCGCCCCCGCGCGCGCCCCGACAGCGCGGCGCGCTCTGGCGCGCTGCAAAAGCGCATCCGCGCCTGCCCGCTCGCACGCGGCGCGCTCTGGCGCGCCCTGACAGCTCTTCCGCGCGCGCCCGCTCGCGCGTGGCTCACTCCTGGCGCGCCCCAAAGGCGCCCCCCGCCGTGCCCGCTCGCGCGCGGAGCACATCGGGTAGCTTCTGGGCGGTCAAAGGGGGCGAAATGGGGAGGTAGCTTCGCGGGCCAGGGAAAAAGAGGGAAAGGGGGCGGCAACTTCCAACAAGGGCGCCCAAAGGAGGGGGGGGTAGCTAAGCCCCCCACCCCTTTTCGGGAAGGGGAGGGGCAGCTTCCGAGGGAGGAAAGGGTGGGGGGTGGGGGGGGGTCGCTTCCAGGGCCAGAAAAAAGGGGGGGAGGGGGGGGAGGGGGGTGGTCTTCCAACGAGGGGGCCTGAAGGGAAGGGGGGTGGGTAGCTGAAGCCCCCCCCCCTTGCTCGGTCGTTGTGGGCGCATTCTCCTCCATCTCATCACCCATTCTCGAAGACTAACACGGCCAGGGCCCGCAGGGGGCCAGCCGAATTTAATCGCTTTGCTCATTCCGCCAGCCCTCATCTCATCACCGTTGGTGCGTGATGGTGTGCTCGTGGTCAGCGGGGGTTGGCTGGGAGGCAGGGACTTTTGAACGTAGTTGTTGGCGTTTTGGTTGCGCGTGGTTTGTCGGAGCATCTTGAGTAGTTATTGTGGGGTTCCTGGACCGTTTGAGGGTTCGTCTCGGAGTGTTTTCTGTTTGCTGTGAGGCGTAGTTGGGGGTGTAGGGTCGGGGCGTCTGGGGTTATCTTAAGGCGTCTTTGGGTGAAAAGGGGTCGTGGACAGGCGTCTCACGAGAGGCGCCTCGTAGCTTCTTGTGACATTGTTGAAGCCTGTTGAAGCCTCTTGGGGCATTATTTGTACGTCGCCAAGGGCCTCTTGGGAGCCTGCCAGCGGTTTCGGGGGCCATCTTTCGTGGAAGGCTCGGCATGTCAGTCCAGATCCCCTTAGCTTATAACGGGGCCTCCGTTCGGGGCCTCTGGAGTTCTCTTGGGAGGCATGTTGGGCCGTCTTTGGGCCCTCTTTGGCCGTCTTGTGGCCGCCCAGGGGGCCTACTGGGCTAACGTGGGGCGATCGTGGGGGCCTCTCGGAGGCCTCCTGCGTTAGTTTGGGACTGCTTGGACCATCTTGGAGTTATCTTGAAGGTTTTTGGGGGCCGTCTCGAGCCGACGGATGCCCGAACACGCAAGAGCTGGAGATCTGTTTACGCTTGGGGCCTTCTTCGGTGTTCTCTTGGAGCACTCTTGGGGACCTCCCTGGGCTGCTTGAGGCGACATTTGGGCTGCCTTGGAGCGGTCTTTGACCGTTTTGGACCGTCTGAATTTTGCCTCAGGCTTTAGAGTGTGCGCGGCACTCAGGCGAGAACTCCAGTTTCAGAACGACCCCCCACCCGCCATCCTGTGCGAGCTTTTACGACGAATGTGCGCGGCTCTACGGCGATTGCCTCATTTTGAAAACGACTCCCCCCCTCCATCCTTGTAACTGCTGCAAAAAATCAAACGAGCTTCAGGATCACAAGTGGTGAATCAGTCTCCAGCGAAACGCCCGGCCCCCCTACCGACACGTCTGGAGGTGCAACAGGGAGGAGTTAGCCAGAAAGAAAATTGATGAGTGGTGGAGGAGGAGGAGGAGGAGGAGGAGGAGGAGGTGGAAGAGGAGGAGAAGGATAATGCAGAGGTGGATGGGGAGGAGGAGGAGGAGGAGGAGGAGGAGGAGGAGGAGGAGGAGGAGGAGGAGGAACAGGATACTCCTCCGCGCGGCGAGAGGTAGTTGGCTGCGCCCATTTCTCCTTCTGGGCAAATGGCGGGTGCCACCTGCAGGACGCCCCTGCCGCCGCCATGGCGGAGGTAGCTCCCCACCCCACCCCTGCCCGGCCTCCGTCTCCTGGCCCTCCTGGCCCCCAGAGGCCAGGGCAGTGAGGAGGGGGATGGGGAGGAGTACGTAGGGGGAAGAGGGGAGGAGGACGGTGAGGGTGGGAATGGTGAGGGGGACGAAAGGGGAGGAGGCAAGCTAGGTGCGCTCGCATCATATTTGACGTCCTACCCTTCCCTCCCATCCCTTACCATGGCGTAGAAGCCCTGTCTATTCGCTCTGTCGGATGTCGAGCTGGACAATGATCGCGAAAGGGTACGCAATGCACGGTAGAGCACGCCATGGCATGGCGTAGAAGAGCACGGCAGCGTGTAGCATGCCATAGCATGGCGTGGCGTTGCGCAGTGAAGCATCGCATCACACAGCACTGCAACGCAAAGTGTGGCATCGCACAGCGGCGCAGAACACAACACCGCACAGCATGTCATGGCATGGCGCCAGGTTCCTTGGAAAGTAAGTGAATCTGCTTCGAGAGGTCTGGGCCAGTCTGGAGTCGTGGCTCCATGTCTAGTTTCTTGGGCTCCCCGAAAAGCTCCACACAAGGCGGGACTGATGGAGAGCACCTGCGGGCTCTGCTTTCAACATCACCTTCTCAATGCAGAAACGGAGCTCCCGCTTGATACTTTCTGAAAGCGACGACGCTCCAAAGTGGGGGGGCCTTCTGCAGTCCAAACAATCAACGAATCGACACTGAATGTGGAATCACTTCAGATGGTTTTTTGGGAGGCATGTTATAGATTTTGGGGCCTGTTTGGAAGGAAGGCCAGCGCTGGAGCAGGAGCACGATTCGTAACGAGCGGAAGCGCGGACACGAGGCCAGCGCTGCAGCGGGAGCACGATTCGGAACGAGCGGAGGCCCGAAAATGGTGCTGGCGCTTCAGCGGGAACAGTTTTTTGGGAACCAAAACCCAGCGAAAACCCATTTCCCAGGAATCGTGTGGGTACGCCGAGGGGGGGCTGATGTCTTCTGGACGTCATCAGGGGAAAGAGGAGAGGAATAGCATCCATAGTGTGTGATTGCAGACGAAAGTGGATGTGGAAGAAGGGAGACGGAAGGACTGAGGCAGAAGGGTAGAGGAGCAGTGAGGTTCACGGGGCAGGAAGAAGAGGACTTCTGATACGAGGGAGGGACATGCGGAGATGTTTTGCTGTTTGGCGATATCCCGGGTTATCCGGGGGGATGTGCTGGGAGATAACCTAACATATTCGCTTTGGGCATTCCCACGCATGCCCGGGCGCACCAGTGTTGTGCCCCCCTACTGCTGCTCACGATGCTGCCACCGACTGGAGGTGCTGCGACGGTGGTACCGTCTGGGAAAGCTAAGGAATATTTGTGGACAGCTCGCATTAGCATACAGGTCGGGATTTCATAGGGATACCCCTGCGCTCCCTGTGAGCTCCTTGTGCGCTTCCTGTGAGTTCCCAGCCCCCTCCTTTCGGATGTGCGCAACCGGCAAAGTCAGGGTATCTGGGGGGGTGGCCCTATAACTAGGGTTATCGCTGGACCACTAAAAAGCCGGACGAGAAGACGAGAAGGAGGACGGAGAGGATCGAGGTGTTTGTACGTTCTGGCCCTGCCCGTGGCAGAGGCATCCGAAGGCTTCTGGACGCCTTCGGGTCTGGAGACCTCCAGAGACTGCTGACCCCCGCCTCTTGCCCTTCCGACCCCCAGAGCCACGGGAGGGAAAATGTGTCGGGTCGGACGCAGGGGGGGGGACTGGTGGTAAAGGGATTTGCGAAGTCTGTTCTGCAGCCCGTTCGTCTCCGCCGCCTGGCGCTTTCTTCGATGCATCGGCGCCTCTTCCGCGCCGGGGGGCGCCGCTCACAAGGGGGTATGCCGTGCCTCGGGATCTCCGGAGGGATCTCTGGAGGGACCTCCAAAGGGGACCTCGTGAAGGGTAGCGGGAGGGTGGGGTGGGCAGAAAGACAACTATCGGGTTGTGAGGATGGGGTTGGGAGAGATGATGAGATCATCCGTATTTCCGCGTATCTTGAATGGGCTCATTCCACAGTCGTGCCTGGACTCTTCCCAGACACGTCCTCCCAACACGATGACTGTCTTTCTCAGGTGGGCAGAGTGGGGTCGGTGGATTGACGCGGTTCCACTGCGGGTGGCCCCCGTGCTGCTGGCGCTGTCGCTCTGCACGCGACCGGCGAGGGGGGGGAGGCCCAGAACGGGCAAGCCTAAAGTGAGGACGACTGCGATGGTATCCAGGCGGTGAACACACATACACATGCAAAGGAGCTAGCGGGATCCCGCGTCGCGCCGAGAGCAAGTGGAGAGGAGCAGAGGGATGTGGAAGAGGGACGCCGACGGGCCACGAAGCTCCTGGACGCATTCCTTCGGGACTCGCGTCAGAAAAATCAGGAGGGAAAGAAACACACAGACACAAGTAATCGTCGACTCCCAGGAAAATATGGGAAAATATGGGAAGTGGGGGGAAGACAAAAACCCAGAAAATATTAGAAAATATGGGGAATCCTGTTATTTGTGTGTATTCATTTGTGTGTCCCAGGGCCCCTTCAAAAAAAACTTGGACTCTGCTTCCTCCCCCTCACCCCAGCTTCCAGTCTCCCCTCCCCCACCCTTTCCCCGCCCCGCTCCTTCCTGCCCCCCTCCCTCCCCATCCTCTCCCTTCTCCCCCTCGTGCTTCTCCTCGTCGTCCTCAGCCTTCATCGTCTCTGACCTGCCACCCCCTCCCCCTCCTCCATCGCATCCTCCCTCCTCTTCATTGGGGGCGCTTCGCTCCAGGACATCGCCGCCTCCTTCCACAACGAGGCGGGCGCGATCGCGGGACCCCAGGACTGCGATCGGGCGCGCTGCCACCAGACCCGCGCCAGGCGCCAGGGGATCCGAAGACGAGGAGGAGGAGGAGGAGGAGGAGGAAAATGGTGATGATGATGATGATGAGGAGGAGAAGGAGGAGGAGGAGGAGGAGGAGGAGGAGGGAGTGGGTCGGGAGGAGGAGGAAGAGGAGGATGAGGAGGCGGTGTGAGCAACAGCTTGTGCCTTTTGTTTCTGCTCTCGCCCTTATCGCGCGCTGAGTTTTGAGCCAATGTGCCGGCGAGGTGCGGTGAGGTCGTGTGTTCGGATGATGGGCTACACATTCCCCAATCAGTGCTTGCACTGAAAGGGTCCAAGCGGATGTTGAAGGATTTGGCGAAAGTTCCGGGTTGATTTCGGTGGGCGGCCAAGTTCCCGGGTTCCCGGTTCCGGTTCCGGGTTCGGGCCAATTTCGGTGGGCGGCGGGGTTCCCAGGTTCCCGGGTTCCTGGTCGATACAATCGATCTCATTGAACCGATTTCACGATCGATCTCACGATCGACTTTACAATCGTCTTCGCTATCGATTCCATTGGCGATCTCACAACCGATCTCAATTCCCATCTCACTTATTTCTCTTATTTACACATCATCTACAGATTTGAGTCACTCTCTGGTGCAATGTTTGTATTGTAGCAGCTCGCATTGTTGTTTACCTTCTTGATTGCCATCGCGAGCAATTGTTCACATGGAGAAGGGAAGAGCAAGAGCTCCAAATAGTTTCGCCCGAACAGACCACAACATCATCGGTCCCTTAAGGATCAAATGTGTTAGAGTTTGGAGAGGCTGCGCGGCAGGGGCCTCTCCAGGCAGAACTCGTGGGTAGCCGCTGGCGGAGACCGGTGGTGGTTCCGCCAGCGGAAGCGCGCGGAAGGCGTGTAACTTCAAGTGAGGCATTGGCATTTCCACGCTTGAGTTCAGGGCTCCCATCACAGTCAGCATGATAATTCGTCTACGCATATGGTACACTATGTCTATGCATGCTACACGTTGCCCATCGTGGACCACAAGCATTGTGCTCCTAGATCTATTGCAGTGTATGTGGTGCATTTGACTGTCAGTCACTCGCGCGCGACCACCTGCCATGCTCGTGCTAATCTCCCACGCGCCCACTCGTAACTTGGTTTGCACAATCCCAGCGGCGGCGATTGCGATGAGTGCTTGGCGTTGGCTGGTGCACCTTTGCGGCCGCGCTAGCCCCGCGCATGCTCGCGCGCACTGCGGCCAGCTTGTTTGGCGCGACCGACGCGGCCGCGGTGGCGCGGACCGTTGGGCATTTCCGAGCGGGCACTTCCGTGCGTGTCGGTGGCCTGGGCGGGCGCGGCATCATGGCGACGCCGGCAACTGTAGACACGATTAGGAATAAAGTAGCGATGGTGGTGACCATGGTGGCGTTGACGACGGCAAAGCCAATGACGGCGCCGATGTTTATCACGCCCGCCGGTAACGATGACGATGCCCTCGCCTCGGCGATGAAGGTCTTTGAAGGAGTTCGACATGCGCGCGCGGCCGACGCGCGCGAGGTATTATTTGATGCGGATGGTGCCCGCATTCGCGCAAAGGCACTATAATGAATTCGACATGCGGCGCGAGAGGCGCGCGTGGCAGAATTTGATGAACATGTTGCAGAATTTGATGAACATGTGGGTGAACAGTTGCCTTAAGGATCCGCAAGACCGCGAGCGTGGGCTTTCTTTGAAACTGACGTTGGAAAACAGTGTTCTTCTATGTTTTTTGGGGCGCTCTATTTTGACATCCTTACATGCGGCGCCGAACGTTTTTCAATGATATCGGCGCGCGCGCCGACGCGCGCGCACTTTGCCCCGCTCTTCCGAAAGGAACTCTTGCGACGGCGCGCGCGCGACGGCGTTTCGAACGATTTCGGCGCGCGCGCTCGCGGGAAACCAATGTGGGAGCACGTCGTGAAAATGTAAAATGTTGGCAACGTTGGGTGTTCGCCATCTTTCGTAAGAGTGCTTAGCTCCGCGCGCGCGGCGGCAATTGGTTCAGCCGACTCGACTCGCCGCTGGCGCTTTTGCCTGCGGTTGCGACAAAAAAGTATTCCCACTAGCCGAAGGGCTGGGTGCATTGATAATTCGTGTGGTTTATCCTACGTCATGCCCTTCGCGCCCTCGACGGTCGCTTGTCAGCCTCGCTGTCCGTGACCCGGCCGCGCCATTTTGGCTGCGCTTCGCTCCTTGGTTCAATTCATGCATCGGCGCTGCCCTCAGACCGTGGCCCTGGTTGTAGTATTTGGTCCCGGTTGTAGTCTGCATTGCCCGCCGACAAGGTTTCGGGCCCTGCCCCGCTTCTTGGCTCCCCCTCGCACCGCCCGGCAGCCTAGGCAGCTTAGGCAGCTTAGTTTCGGCCGCCGGTCCCGCGCGCTGGGCAATTAGTTCCGCTCGTAGCCCGAGCCGACTTGACTCGCCGCTGGCGCTTTTGCCTGCGGCTGCGACAAAAAAGTATTCCCACTAGCCCGTCCAGAAACCCTGCCCATGAGAGCTGACGGAAAAAGGGACGAAGAGACACGTATAATGAAAAAGAGAGGTCAACCAGGATGAACAGAGGGACCTCTGGGAGCAAGAGGGTGGTCTTGGAGGGCCTTTTCGGGCCATCCCTGGGGCCCGCGGGGGGGCGAGGGGGGGCGGAGGAGGAGGAGGAGGAGGAGGAGGAGGAGGAGGAGGAGGCGCACCGCGTCTCGGGGCTCTCGTGGGGCGCTCTTGGGACGCTCTTGGGCGCTCTCGGGGTCGTCGTGGGTCCCTCTTGGGGCCCTCTTGGGGCTTTCTTGGGGCCGTCTTGGGTGCCCTGTAAGGCGTCTTGCGGCCATCTTGTAGGACGTCGTTCAAAGGAGTAGGGGTCTTTGAATCCCTCCTCCCTTGGGGCCATCAAGCTCGCCTCTTGAAACCCTCGTGGGGCGCTTTTGGGCCGCCCTTGGGCGCTTTGGGGCCGTTATGGAGGCCTCTCGGGCCCCTCTTGGGTCCTCCTGGGCCATCTTGGGGCATCTTGAGGGGCCTCAACAGCGCATCGGAAGCGAAAGTGCGAGAAGGGGAACATCACTGATGCTACTTAGATTTTGGAAAGATTTTGGTTGGTCTCTTGGGGGTCCTGTGGGGCTCCTAGATCTCTTGGAACCGTTTTTTTGTGGCCTTCGTCGGGCCTCTGAGAGATATGTCGGAAGCTATATTTAACAATTTTCGCTAATCTGGAGACATTTTGCAGGCCATCTTGTAGCGCCGGAAGCCCTCTTAAAGCTATCTTGAGCCATCTTGGACGCTCTAACCCCTCAGGTCCCCTTCGAAAAGACCTCAAGGATGGCAGGGGACACCCAAAGGGCTGGTGGGATTAACGGTTCTAGCCTCTTCATATTCTCTTGGGGGGCCCCTTGGGGCTCTCATGGAGCTTCTTAGGGGCATTCTGGGGCGTCGCTGGGGCCTTCTGGGTCGTCTTGAGAGCCTTCTGGTACAGTCTTGGAGCCGTCTTGGGACCCTCTGGGGCTGTTTGGGGGGCTTTCCTGAGGCCCAGGGCAGGGGATCCGGGGCTCTCCTTTGGATTGAGGCGATGTTGGCTTGTCTTGACTGCCTTGGTGGCCTTCTAGGCCGTCTGTGGAGTCGTTTGGGCAGTCTTGGGGGCCCCGAGGGAGGCGGTGGAGCGGCCAGGACCCCTCGTTGGACGATGCGCGGAGGAGGGGGTGAAGGGAAGAAAGGCTTCTCAGAAGCACCCTTGCTTCTTAAAAGGCGCGGGCTTTATCCATACATGTAGGGCTGGCGGCTTCTAAGAGGCAGTCTCTTTCTAAAAAGCCTTCCCCCATCCCCCTACCCCCTTGTGCGCGCCGCCAAGAAGGGGGGGAATGCCTTATACTTTTCTTTTATACTTTGAACGGTGCCCAGGATGGCCCATCAGGTCCCCAAGATCACACCGAGACGTCCAACAACCAAATACGACAAGAGAGACTAATCACATCTTATCCCAAGACAGCCCAAGAGATCCCCCAAGGGAGCCCACGAAGGCCCAAGAGGCCCCCAAGACGGCCCAAGAGGCTTTCAAAATGGCTATGACAGACGTCCAGGCTGCCCTATGCATCCTATCACGCTTTCTCCCTGAAGTTAGATGATGGCAGTATTCCATCACGAACTCAGAGGGGATTCAATTCACACATGGGAATACGGTCAGACAGAGGTATAAGATCGAGATCGGTTCGGGGAGGGTACACTAATGTTCTTCTTGCTTGTTTGACGTTTTTGTGCGTCCTGGGGGAGGGGACCCTCGAATGTTTTTCAGTTTGGCCAGCGGAGGGTCTCATATCCTTGAAGGATGTTATTCGGTCCAAGTGTCGGCCGTACTTACAAAGTTCGTCTCGTAAGGGGCATTGGGTTCCTCGGGTCCTTGCGTAGATTGTTCCTCGGGCTCGGCCTCTTAGTAGATCTCGTTCCTGGGAGCGAGAGTTTCTTCTTGTTGCACATGCGGCAACGCCGCTTTTCTTGCCATCTCTGGGGGGTGTCGACTCTGCGCTCTCACCGATCCTGGCACTGCACATCCTGGGCCCAGGAGTTGTGTACGTGCCTTGCTGGCCAAGCTGGGACGGCGCACTCACGAGCCCCTGGACCAGGAAGGGCCTGGTCAGGACAGGCGTGGGCGTGCGTCAGGAGGGAACAAAAGCACAGAGACACAATTCATTGTCGATTCCCCGGAAGGTATGGGAAACTGTGGGAAGTATGGGGTGGAAGACAAAAACCAACACAGAAAACACGGGGAACTGTGTGGAATCCTGTTACGCGTGTCGATTTTTATTTGCGTGTCCCAGGGCCCCCTGCAGTGTGGCCGGCGCGGCCCTGCCAGCGGGGACGCGGCGGAAGGCACGACCCGCTCGACATGCCGGGCCAGGCGAGGACGGTCGAGCAGTCCCCGCTGGAGTGCCAGCGGCGGTGTGCCGGCCTCGGCGCCCTGCAGGCCGCGAGGTCGCTCGCGCGGTGCCCTCCTCGCGCTGCCTGCTCCCCGCCATTCCCCATTCGCCCTCTTTGCCTCCTGCCTGCCCCTGCCCTCCCGCCCGTCCCCTCTCCCTTCCTGTCCTCCCCCTCCTCTGGCCTCTCCGCTTTCTACGCCTCCTTCCTCTCCTCTCCTCCTCCTCCTCCCCCTCCTCCTCCTCCTCCCCCTCCTCCTCCTCCTCCTCCTCCGCTGGGGGTTGGAGGTGGCTTGTTCCTGCGCCCGCTTTCCCTTCCCCCCTTCATCTCAATCATCCATCATCCATCTCGTCACTCTTCCCCTCCTCATCCCTGTCCCCTCCTCTTCAATCTCCTCCTCCTCCTCCTAGTCCACGCGGGTCCTAGCACATGGATCTGTGGTCCACCGCCTCGGCCTCTGGGACAAGGAGGGATACGACTACTTGGCGCGTGGCGAGAACACAGAGAAAAGCTTGCCGCGGACCGCGGACGGTGACCAGGGGAGGGGGCGGCGCTGGTAGAATCCAGGTAACCTTACCAGGCAGACCCTGGGAACGGTGGCGTCTTTGCAGGAGGTTCATGGTACGCGGCGCGCGCAAGAGACTCCTCGCGCAGATTCCGTTGCAGTTTGGTGAGCGCGCGTCCGCGCGATCGCGCAGCGCCTTGGCAGGCATCGCGCTGGAGGGCGAGGCGAACAAGTGGTCGCCTAATATATTCAGGCAGACGTTTACCTCGCAGGTAATGCTCGTGAGCGGACGCCTCAGTTGATTCGTTCCCGACCGGGGGGACCCCCGTGGGAAATTACGCGGGGTCGCTTGGGCATGTTGGGCATTTCTGCGCTCGAGATTTTTCTGTCTAACTAGTGGGAGAAATTTTCTAAAAGTACATCGATGTCTGGAGTCACGGGGCCGCTTCGGATGCTCCGGGAGTTCATCGCTGCTTCCAAGTCGTTAGGTCGGATTCGCGGTCGTCTTTAAGTAGCAACGTCACCTTGTCAAGAGGTTCGTTAGGCAGGTTGCAGGTTGCGTCGCTCCGTCGACGCCGTCGCGAGAAAGTGCACCCGTGCCGGGGGTTGTAGCAGGAATTCGCCGTCAGCACGGCTGCGGTGGACGAGTTGTTTCAAGGCATGCGCGTTTGCGCTGCTGTCGGACAGTTGCCGGTGTCAGGAGCCCAAGAGGCTCGACTAGCTTCGAAGAGAATGCAGGCCCGAAGGGGCCTTGGAGTGGACAAGTTAACCCCCTGGGACTTAGAGCGGCTCCCAGACGCTGATTTGCAGGATTATTTCTTTCTTCGATTGAAAGGGAGACTGGCTGATTCATCCGATGGCGACTCATCCGCTCCGACTCATCCGATCCCGGGTTCGGGTGAACCGCGACCGGATGAGTTTGACCAGATGAATTAGTCACCAGATGAGTTAGCCCAGGTGAGTGTTACCGGACGAGTTGGCCCCGATGAATTCGGCTTTGGATGAATCAGGCACCAGATGAGGTAGGCAACGGATGAGCCAGGCATCAGATGAGGTAGGAGTCGTATGAATGAGTACCAGATGAGCTACGCACCGGATGAGTTTGGCACTACATGAGCTTGGCACCCGATGAATCTCGCACCAGATGAATTTCACACCGGATGAGTTTGGTACCAGATGAGTTTGGCACGGGATGCTTGTGGCACCGGATGAGTCTCGCACCGGATGAGGTTGACGGAAGTTTGGCACCGGATGAGTCTGGCACCAGCTGAGTCTGGCACCGGATGAGTTACACCTGGGTAAGTTTAGTTAGGCATTGGATGAGCCAGTTTCCCGAGGCCATCTTGGAGGGTTTCTTGGGCTTATCCTGGGGCAGACGTGGGGTCAGAATTGGTTTGACTACAAAACGGTTTGCACTCAAGCAAATTGTGAGCCACTTTTGAGTTACTTTTTGATGCCTTTGAAGCCGACGTCGGGAGCTCGCTGCTTCCCGAGGCTATTGGCGTTCGTTGGGGTAATTATCCAGGGGCAGCTGGGCGGGGTGGGAATGTGCTTGACCGCAGAACGGTTTGTAGTCAAGCAACCATTTGAGTCACCTTTTAGTTGTTCTGGGATGTCTTGGAAGCCGACGTTGAGGCCTCGCTGCTTCCTGAGGCAATTTCTGGAGGGCTCCTTCGGGGTATGGGCAGCAGGGGGGCCGTAGTTTGCTTGACTTCAAAATGGCTTGTAGTCAAGATTTTAGTTACTTGTGAGTTATTGTTGGATGTCTTTGACTCCGACGTTGGGGGCTCCTGCGGCCATTCTGGAGGGTTTCTTGGGGGTATCCAGGGGCAGAGGGGTTTCCAGAATGTGCTTGACTCCAAGACTGGTTAAGTCAAGCAGATGTTGAGTTTCTTTTGAGTTATTGTTAGAAGTTTTTGAAGCCGACATTGGGAGGCCGCTGCTTCCCGAGGCTATTCTGGAGGGCTTCGTCGGGGTATCCTGCGAGGATTTGCTTGACTACGCAACGGTTCGTATTGAAGCAAAGTTGTGAGATGCTTTTGGGTGTGTTGGTTCCGACGTTGGGAGGTTGCTGTTTCAGGAGGCTATTTTGGAGGGCTTCTTGGGGGTGTCCTGGGGCAGATGGGGGGTCCGAATTTTCTTGACTACACAACGGTTTGTAGTCAAGCATATTTGGGCATGTCCATCAAGGTGCCAGATGCGTTAGGTTGGCTGATTTGAAGGCACCCGATGAGTGACGGAGCGGATGAAGCTGGCCCGGATGAGTTCTGGTACCAGGTGAGCTAGGGCAGCGGATGAGTAAGGGCACTGGATGAGTTTGGCACCCGATGAGCTTGGCTCCGTATGAGTTAGGCATGGGTAAGTTTACTTAGGCACCGGATGCGTTAGTTCCCCGAGGCTATTCTGGAGGGCTTCTTGAGCGTAACCTGAGGCAGACGGGGGGTGAGGAATTGTTTGACTACAAGACGGTTTGTAGTCAAGCAAATTGTGAGATGTTTTTGAATTATTTCTGGATGTCTTTGAAGCCGACGTTTGGAGCTCGTTGCTTCCCGATGCTTTTCTGGAGGCTTGGGGGCATCCTTGGGCAGACGGGGGGGGGGGGGGTATAATGTATTCGATTGCAAACGACGCATAGTCAAGCAAATAGTGACACATTTTTGAGATTTGTTTGATGTCTTTGAAGCCGACGTTGGGAGCTCGCCGCTTCCCGAGGCCATTCTGGAGGGCCTCCTGGGGGCATCCTGGGACACAAGGGGGAGTGAGAATTTGCTTGACTACACAACGGTTTGTAGTCAAGCATTTGGTTGTTACTTTTGAGTCGTTGTTGGATATCTTTAAAGCCGACATCGGGGGCTCGCCGCTTCCCGAGGCTCTTTGGAGGGCTTCATGGGGGCATCCTTGGGCACACGAGGGGTGAGAATTTGTTTGACTACACAAAGTTTGTAGTCAAGCAAATTTGAGTTGTTTTTGAGTCATTGTTGGATGTCTTTGACTCCGACGTTGGGCTCTCCCGAGGCTCGTCAGGAGGGCATCTTTGGAGTATCCTTGGGCAGATGAGTGGCCAGAAGTTGCTTGACTACAAAACTGCTCGCAGTCAAGCAAAGTGTTCAGTTGTGTTTGAGTTATTGTTGGATGTCATTGACTCCGACGCTGGGGGCTTGCTGCTTACCCAGGCTATTCTGGCGGGCTTCTTGGGGGCATCCTGGGGCAGATGGGGGGCCTGGAATTGCTTGACTACACAAAAGTTTTGAAGTCAAGCGAATTTTGAATAGTTTTTGAGTTATGTTTGGATGTCTTTGAAGCCGACGTCGGTGAGGCTCTGCTGGAGGGCTTCTTGGGGGTATCCTAGGGCAGCAGGGGGGTCAGAATTCGTCTGACTACGAAACGGTTTACAGTCAAGCATATCCGGGCATGTCCATTAAGGTGCCAGATGCGTTAGGCAGGATGACTTTATAGGGCACCCGATGAGAGACGCACCGGATGAAGCCAGCACCGGATGTGTTTTGGTACCAGATTAGTTAGGGCAGCGGATGAGTGAGGGCAGCTGGCGAGTTTGGCACCGGATGCGCTCGGGCAACAGATGAGTTTGGCACCGGGTCGAATTCGCATCATATGAGCTTGGTTTTGGATAAGCTTGGCACCGGATGAGTTTGGCTTTGGATGAGTTTGGCACCAGATGAGCTTGGCACCGTCTGAGTTAGGTTTGAGTAGGTTTAGTTAGCCACCGGATGAGTAAGTTCCCCGAGGCCATTTCGAAGGGTTTCCTGGGCTTATCCTGGGGCGTCGACGTGGGGTTAGAGTTGGTTTGACTACAAAACGGTTTGTAGTCAAGCAAATTGCGAGCCCCTTTCGAGTTACCTTTGGATGTCCTTGAAGCCGACATTGGAAGCTCGCTGCTTCCCGAGGCTATTCTGGAGGGCTTCTTGGGGGCATTCTGGGGCGCAAGGGGGGAGAATTTGCTTGACGTCAAGGCGACATGTACCCATTCAAATGTTGAATTGATTTTGACCTATTTCTGGATGTCTTTGAGGCCGACGTTGGGGTTCGCTGCTTCCCGGGGCACGTCTGAAGGGCTTATTGGGATCATCCTTGGGCACAGGGGGGGCGAGAATTTGTTTGACTACAAAAGGGTTTATAGTCAAGCAAACTTGGAGTTTTTTGTTATTGTTGGATGTCTTTGAAGCCGACGTTAGGGGATCGCTGCTTCCCGAGGCTCTTCTAGAGGGTCTCTTGGGGGTATCCTGGGGCAGCAAGGTGGCCAGAAGTTGCTTGACTGCGATACGATTTGCATTGTCGAGCAATGTTTGAGCTAATTTTGAGTCTTTGTTGGATGTCTTTGAATCCGACGTTGGGGTCTCCCGAGGCTTTTCAGGAGGGTTTCTTTGCGGTATCCTGGGGCAGATGGGTGGTCCGAATTTTCTTGATTATCAAACGGTCTTGTAGTCAAGCAATATTTCAGTTTTGAAATACTTCTGGATGCTTTGAAGCCGACGTTGGGAGCTCGCTGCTTCCCGAGGCTAT